ATGGATGTCAAGATGTAGAGCATAACATTCAATACTAAAGAATCAGAGGTCGGGAATTCATGTTGATAATCCAAACCAGGAGCCCGATTTCTGTTTAAACGCGTATTTGTATTTCTTCCACTATGTAAGATAACTGCAAAACGTGTACAAGGCAGAGATGAACTGACTGACTATGAAAATAAGTGAAAGAGATTCAGAATATAACAATCTTAAATGGTTAAAGAAACTAAAAATTTAAGTACTCCATTGAACAGAATTTCAGGAATAGCTATAACAAGTCTAATTAGCAACAAAATGCATACTCGATTATTCAAGGTTCAAACAACATTTTGATTCTTGCTAATCAGATGCTAGTCCATAAAATGTAAAGATCATACTAATAGCTGATTTCATCTGTCCAAAACGGTAAAAATTATTCATGTCCTCCTCTAGCCATAAATCAACACGAGGCAACTTCTTTATTTACTTCTCCCTTGCATTCTAATCACCATACTTAGCTAAGCCGTGACTTTTACAGTAGAGAACATTAATTCTTCCACTATATTGCTGTATAGCTCAAATTATCAAAAGTTACCGTGTATGTGTAGTTGAGTATTGGATAGGTCTCGACAATATAATGAAAAAAGATTTTTGCTTATTTTTCTCATCTAAAACTGTGGTGCTATCCATTACATTCCAGGTAACAAGGAGAAGAACAGAGAGCACCCGCGCTGCATTTCAATTATAAAAAACATGCGCGGTTGATAACTCAAATTGAACAGCCTAGGGTAAAGCTGCCCACCAAAATAATCAACAAATAACTTGCTTGTCAAAAAATGCATAGTTAACGTCTCCCAAAATTGAATAACAGAGTTTTGGTCCTGGCCTTTGGCGACTTCTAAAATATACAATCAAAAACTTTCAATGATCCCACGTATTGCCTGAATTGCTTGGATCCATTGGACGACTTGATTTCTCTATTGCTCTTGTAGCCAGTGTGAAAGGTTTTTTTTTGGCACAATGATGCAAAGACCATTGGGCCTAAATTGAAAGCCCAGCTGGAATTAAATCCCAGCACAAACCAATCTGTTGGTTGCTGAAAGCGTGCTTTGGGAAATCGGTAGAAACCTTGTTTCTCATTACCTTTGAATTGGGCGCCTGTGATGTCGCCACGTGTTGCCTCCAACGCCGTTGGATTGGCGACTATTGAGTGACTCATATAAGAGCGTTTTCTAGGGTTTTAGACTCATTGGTTCGAGACTCTTCTAATCTTACTGTGCTCTCTACGCCGTTTCTCTCGAGTTCTCTCCTTCACTGTAGAAATTAAATACTCTCTTTCGCTCAATAGCTTGTAAATCTTGTGTGATTTTCTGTTTGAGGGTGTTGGTTCTTCTGTGAACTGTGAGTTGTGAAGAGAGATATACTATTTTGTATAATAATCGGTCAAGTCTGAGTGCC